TGCCTACCTCAATGGCCAAGATGCAGCATTCAGTTTGGACGGGACCATCCATCACAGAGAAACAGGACAAACAATCATGCACACACAGCTATGAACAATTTAGAGAGTCAAATTTACCTAACTGTCAGGCTTTTGGATTGTGGGAGAAATCCAGAGCAAGAAACCACTCATGCACAAAGGAACATGCAAACTCCATGCAGAAAGACCCCATGATGGGATTGAAAGTTGAACCAAAAGGGAATGGTAGCAACATAGCTGAGAAGTGCTGGCCACAGATCAGTGGAGCCTGAAGGGCAGAATGAGCTGGACTCCTGGGGAGTGAAGATTTGCTCTCTGGGGCGATTGCTCATGTTTTTCTGACACTTTGATGGACCAGTTTGGGTTTGGCAGTTACCTAGCCTACTAACCTCACAATTGCATTTCTTGAAGTGATCAAAGACTCCCAAAAATATGTTTTGAACCTTGTTAAAAGCCTTCCCTTCAAAATGTTTTTCCTGGTGCAAATGGTGAGCCCACTTATGAAACGCTTTGTCTGTTCTACCATCACTCGTAAAAAAGACACCTAAAAACACAAATACCTCCAATCAAAGCAAAATGCTCACCATCTCACTGAAAATATTTATTAGACAACAGGACTGATTTAATGGTATATAGGTTTTCAGAAGGGGGCTGCACAGTTAGTATGCTGTTGTTTTGCAACAAGAAGATCCTGGGGTTTTCTGCAAAGAGTTTGCATATTCTACCTGTGCATGCATGAGTTCTCTCCAGGTACTCTGGTTTCTCCCACACTCCAAAAGCATGACAGCTAGATCATGCTTTTGGACCTACCAGTCAAGGTAAAGGTATGTTGTTTTCTGAATTGTTCATAGGTGTGAATGTGCGCATGGTTATTTGTCCTGTGTGTCTCTGTATTGCCTTTGGATGGACTGGCAAGCTCTCCAGGGTAGGCTTCTTTCATCTGTTGTAGCCATGCTGAATTATAAGGCAGAGTTGAGACTTTCCAAGTGGGAATTCCAAATTCTCCATGTATTCCATTTGATTTTTTTTTTTGTTTAGTTCTCAAAATTACAACTTCTTCATACAGAAGGAGCTCACCAATATCTGGAAATGAACAGAGTCCCAACCTCTGAGATATAGTTCAGTGAAAAAGTATTTGCCAAACGTAGATTTCTACTGATATTCAACATTATACAAAGATAATCTGAGTAAATACAGAAGAAGAAGAAGTGACTAGAACAGAACCTAAGGAAGGTCACCAGTTCTCAAAAAGTAAAACACCAGGCCCTGATAAACAGATGAGAAACAAAGTCACTGAAATATTTCGGCCTGGAAAAAGTTAGAAATCCATTTCTAAGGCTTTGGGATCCCAGTGAACCACAGTGAGAGACAACATGAAGCAGTGATGAACCTTCACAGGACTGTCCAGCCAAACAATTATCCCAAGAATGCATTAAAGATTTGTCCAGGAGATTACTGTATAAACCAAAACATCTGACTCTGTTAAGGTCAATGTTCATGATTCAACAACACTTTAGCTAAAAAGACCTTTCAGAACCATAGAAGGTCAAACCTTGTCCAAGAACACTTAATCCACTTACCTTCCCATGAAGAGTTGTAGACCCAGCATCGGCTCTGTGTTCAGACATCGGTGCGATCAGAGTCCACTGATTGGTGTCAGGGTTAAACCGTTCTGCAGTTTTGAATGTATCATACTTGTTGCAGCCTCCCATTGCATAGATCTGGTCGTTGAGCACCACTACACTGACATAGCATCGAGCTTTGTGCATCGTCCCCACTTCTTTCCAAGTTTGGGTGGCGAGATTGAACCTTATGACGCTGCTCAAGTAGTGATCAGCGTGGCACCCTCCGACACAGTAGATGTTTCCTTTGAGGTAAACACAGCCGCTGAATTCTGGGAATGGCGCTGGATTTTTGTACACTGTCTTCCAGCAGTTTTTTCGAACATTGTACAACTCAATTTTGTCAGAAGGATAATTGTCTTCAAAGCCCCCAATGGCCAGCAGCACATGAGAAGGTAAACGGGTAGAGGTAAGGGACATCTCCAAGTTGGACCCATGGAGGACCTTCATCGCACTGATTATCATATTGACACATTGTAAATTGTTTCTAACCAGATTATCTTTGCACATAGTTTCGACTAAGTAATCAATGGGTATTTGGAGCAGGCGAACCTGGATAAAGACAGGAGATTTTTATGTAGAAACTAGCAGCATATCTACAGTTTGGGGAGATCCGTGTCCCAACATTCACTTACATGAGTGAAAAGTGTCCCCATGTATCCCCGACGATCCTCAGGAGCAAACTTGACCCATCGGAGGATGGCCTCAAACACAAAGGTCTCCTTTCTCACATTCAGCTCGTCCTTCCTGATGAGTTCCACCAGCTCCTCAACAGGGAGCTGCTGGAAGTCAGCACAAAACTCCACCACCTCCTCAAAGTGTTGCAGGATGTAGAGGTAGGCCACTTCCTTCAGGTCAAGGATCTTGTAGTGATCTGCTAGCTTCCAGGTCTTGATGCAGTTCTTAGGGCAGAGTGTTTGCTGCAGGAAGTCACAGCAGGCCTTAAGGATGCCAGGAACAGCAAAGCGGTCTGCTGCAGCCAACAACTCTACCACATTATCCTCCGTCACCACAACAGAGGAGGTGTAGGCATACTCAAGAATGAGCTCCATGATATTTTGTGACAGGTCAGGGAAACTGTAGACTTGGTGCCCAGATGATTGCTCACTGAGGAAGAGGTCTCTGTGGGAGACCGGAGGTTTAAGAAACATACGTCAAGTGACTAAAGCTGTGGAATACAGTACTTACAAATTGTTTGAACCTTTTTGCCCATTCCTTCATGGAACAGGTAGATTTCTACCAAAATTAAAAACACACAGGTGGACCCAATTTGCTAATTAGATCACTTCTATTGGTTGTAATGGATTTTATTTAAGAGTACAAGAGTAAAGGGGGCTTTATGGAAGACCTCTTTGCTCTTTTGGAAAAGTAAATTTCACAATTATACAACTTTGTGTTGGTCTGTAACATGACATGCTGTTTTTGAAGGAGAAGGAATACTTATGCAAGTTACTGTATGGTTTCTTCACCTTCAAATGAACTTTAATGGCTACAGAAACTTTGAGTAACTTTGCGTAACTTTGAGTAACTTTGCCCTCTTAGCTTTCTGAATGTTACATTTCCTTCATTTGTATCAAAACCTGATGCCTGGTGTGAGCTAAGCTACTGGAGAGTGTCATTGTACCCATCACCATGGAAACATGCATTTGTTTACATTCTAACAAGACAGATGGAAACAGAATAAGTCAGGTTGTAAAAAATAGTACTGAGTCAACTTAATAGGCAGGTTAATAATTTGAACAGAAAAGGTCAATGTGATATAATTACTGAATTTCCCTTTGGATCAATTAAGTATTTTTGAATTTGATTACATAAGGTGGATCAGAAACAATGTCTTTTAATAACTCCAGAGGAGCAGAGCTGTATCAATCAAGCTTAATGCAGCTTCACTAGAACAATTTAAGGAGCTTTTTGAAATGCAAGGCCTGTGGTAGAATTATAGTTTTAACCTGACAACTTTTTCTTCTCCAAAAGATTCCAAAAGCACAATTTAGTGCTTGTGAAAACTCATAACCATTTTACAATATGCCACACTGAGATCAGGAATGAAAGAGAAAATAGCTACGGTATAATGATTTACCTGAAGAAAGCACTGGGGTTGCACAAAACAAACCTGTGAACTTTAAACTCTGCATCTCTGACTTTGATCACAGCATCGCACAGTGTTTCCTCCAGAAACATCTCCTTCCACACGTTATTAGAAGCAATGCTCATTTTTCTGAAGCCTTGAATTAGTTTTAAAGGATGAAAATGTGGTCTTGTTGAAAATAGCAAGTGAAAGCTGCTAAGGGCTTTTTTCAGCTTCAAGTTTTATCTGTTTATACAAATAATGACTTCTAATTTCTTAACAGAACCTCTGGGTTGTATCTTTTTAAATGATATTTTCTATAGAAACTGTTTCAATCATCAACATGGCTTTGTATATTGAAGTGAATAAAATGTATTGTTTGTGACAGACTGGCAACCTGTACAGGGTGACCCCGCCTTTCACTGGAGATGGACCAGCACCTGCTGACCCCCCCCCAGGGAACAAGGCTGTTAGAAAATGAATGGATGAAAATATACTGTTGTGTAAAAATTAGAACTCTTTTTGGTTGGGTTTTGTCAATGGTGTGTGTGAGTCAATGGTGAGTGTGTATATAAACATATACACACTCAACGGCCACTTTATTAGGGACACCTTGATAGCACCGAGTTGGACCCCCTTTTACCTTCAGAACTGCTTTAATACAGATTCAACAAGGTACTGGAAACATTCCTCAGAGTCTGGTCCATATTGACATGATAGCATCACACAGTTGCTGCAGATTTGTCCGCTGCACATCCTTGATCCGAATCTCCTGTTCCACCACGTCCCAAATATGCTCTATTGGATTGAGGTCTGGTGACCATTCGAGTTCAGTGATCTTACTGTCGTGTTCAATACACCAGTCTGAGATGATTGGCGCTTTGTGGCATGGTGCATAATCTTGCTGGAAGGAACCATCAGAGGATGGATAGACTGTGCTCAGCAACAATACTCTGGTAGCCTGTAGAGTTGTTGTAAATATACAACATAATGTCTGAATAAATATATGTTGAGCTTTAGAAGTGAAATAAACAATCTGCTCCTGAACGTTGATAAGACAAAAGAGATCATTGTCGACTTCAGGAGGTCTCAACCCAACGACACACGACTCCTCATCAGCAACAGCAGTGGGGATCATCAGCAGCACTGAGTTCCTGGGGGTTCACAGTACAGACAACCTTGGCTGGGCACCTCATATTACATCACCTTTTTTGGTGAAAAAGGCACAGTTATGTCTGCTCTGATCCTTCCTTTCCCATCCTTTCCATCTTCTACAGAGATGCCAAAGAGATCCTGCTGACCAGCACTATCTCCACCTGGTCTGGGAGCTGCAAGGCCTCAGACTGGAAATCTCTGTGATCTCTGACTCCACATCCTCTCCATGGTCTGTTCATCTAGTTGGTGTCTGGCAGAAGATTCCATAGCATCTGCAGCAGAACAGCCAGACTCAGAAATAGCTGTCCCCCACTGGCCATCAGACTGCTCAACAATCCCATCAGTAAGACTGACTGATTGAGACTGCTTGAAAATGCTAAGTTATATACATTTAGCAACATATTATTTTTTGTATATTATGTATTTATAGGCACACGTGTGCTCTGGTGGCCAAGCTTTGACATTTTATTGACAATTTCACTTGTGTCTTTGTGCAATGACAGTAAAATAAGTCTAAGTCAAAATCACTTCAAAGAGTTGAAAGTGTACTTTCCTAAATAAATGTCTTTAATTCTTAAAAAAAAAAAAAAAGAAGGAAACACTGAGTGTGTAGTTTGCTTGTGTTTTGTTAATTAATTGCTTGTTCCTTGTATGTTTTTAACCCATTGCTTAGGGTTAGAAAGCTCAATTGTCCCTCGCAGCTTCCCGTACAAAATCCGCTGTTTTGTTGACACTTTTCTCCATCAGCTGATTCCCCGCTGAGAGACGATGAGCAGCTCCACACAGACTCACCTCTTCAGCTCAGTTTTCTCCGGCGAACAATCGGCAGATTTCAGGAAGCCTCTCTTTCATGCTGAGGAGAGCAGCAGCTGAGAATGGCCGCTGTTTGCTAACGAGTCCCTGAGCATTAGCTTTAGCTCCCAGCTAACATCCACCTTCAGTAACCCGATGTTCGGAGACGTCATGGAGGGCATTTTATACAAGTGGACTAATTACATGACAGGTGAGGACTCTGGCTGATAGTTTTTTAGTGTAATTTGATTTCAGACCATTTTTATTTTATTTTATTTTATTCTTTTGCGAATGTTCATTGTGTTAGAAATGTTCCTTTCCAACTCTTAAGTAGCTAACATTAATGAACACCTGTTTAAGTGATGCAGAAACAGTAAGACAAACTCCCATGAATAAATATGGAGATATTTATAATAATTTAGCGATGCCTTGAAGCGGACAGCTTAAAATAATGTCGGTAAAAAATCCAGGTAAACAGTTTCTCTTTACCTACATAAAGTTGGACACTTCATTTAGTATTGCTGCATAATAAATCTTTATTTTCAGTTCTGTGTGGCTCTAAATATCTAAGTTAAAACTAAAAAAAATATATAAAATGTTTTTGTCTTTTTGTAGCCAAACTAACTGTCTAGTGTAGAAATATTAATTAAATAAACAGCTAACAGTTGGAAGGACTTGAAGTTCACATGAAACAGAAATAGTTTGTGATAATTACTCGTGCTATTTTAATACAATTCAGTCACTACGGATAAAAATAATATTTACAAACCTGTCTTTATTTAGTTGCTTAATAAATATCTTTTAATATTTAATGTTCGTTGGGTTCTGTTAATTGTTCCTGGAATAGTTTATTTCTGTTGTTATACTATTCACTCAATGCAATCACTTAATAATTCAAGTAAGATAAAAATGACAAATGTTTATTTTAATAACATTAACTGAACTGAAGTGTGTTCCTGAATGAACTTGTGCTATAAACTACAGGAGATGTTGGAGGTACATAGCAGTAGATCTGTACTACTGCTGTTTGATATTTATTACATTGACCTGCATCTAAAATCTAAGATTAATATCACTTGATCATGTCTTTTACTAGTGTGCCACACAACAGAATGTGACTCTACTTTGTAGATAAATACTTTGTAATAAATCAACTTTGTAGAGTCACATTTTGTTTTCACTCCAGCTGTGAGTTTGTTATGGTTTGTCTCTAGCAGCTTTTCATTGGAAAATGTGAATGTTCACTGACATCAGCCACTGATTGGAGAACATCAGTGAAGATCTTGCTACAAAATTTGCAACCAGAAGTTGGTCAGAACTTTGACTGGACCATGCTGTTGTATGTCGGGTGTGTGTTGTGAAGTAATTCAAATCCACCCAAGCTTGTGGTTGCAAGAGGCCAAAATGTGAAAAGGCTCAGAGTCCATTCTGCAGGCCGCTGTGTTTTCTGAATAAATTCAGTTTTCTAACACAGATTCCAGATCTCCAATTCAGAGAGTTGTTATGACGATGGGAGCAATTTAACATCCATGCACCCATTTGGGAATTTTTCTGGTTTTCTGTCATCAAGAATAAACAGTTTGACTATAATACAGTCTGGTTCTTCTTCCATTGAGCTAGAGCAATGGTGGATTGTCAGGATTTACAAGATCAGGTGGATTTGTTTTTCTTCAAAACTAATCTGCTACCGATCTCTGTACTGTTCCTGTATAAGTATATGCAATGTTTTGGGTTTTTTTTTTTTACTGTAAATCCTCCTCTGTTTAATCAGGGTTTTATGTTGGGTCGGATTGTTCAGGATTACAGGAAGTATCTGAAACAAAGACGTTTATGTAGAGTTTCTGCATTATTAAAATAATAGAGAAGCTGATCCTAGACCAGATACTTTCGGCCTCTAGACAATTTTTTATGTACTCTGGCTCCAAAGCCAGATTGTTAATCCCAAATTAGCTGCAGATGGAGAAATCCAACATCAGAGCGGCTGCAAAAGGCAAAAATTCTCTTTTATTTACACGAATAACAGGTAAACGCATCACAATAAGCACTTAATCCATGATAAATTAAAATAAGCTCAATATTTTTGAAAAGCAACTTTGTTTTCAGAGACATAATCCACTTTATTTATGTTTCCAGTTGTATGTGGTTATTAACTCTGATTTGTTGTGTTTTATTTGGATCTTTGGATCTTCCAGTTCCTGTGTGGAGTGTTATGTACAAAATTAATGTTTATCAATTTTTGACTGAGCAAGCTTGCATTATAGTTAATTAATCAAAACAACAATATTATTTAGTGCAATAATTTTTTGCCTTAAAAATTAACCTCCATTTTTCTGTTTGGAAAAGACTGGAGAGTTTTGCAGAGAAATCTATAAAACTGCTAAGCCCGTCGCAATAAATCAATGAATCACATCAAAAGTTAAAATGAAACCGTCTTGTCATTGGCCCCTGGTTAGTCTGACGAATTCAATGACATTAAAGTTTTGAAGTTCTGTCAGCGTTGTTCAGAAATCTTGTGGGATAAGTGTGTGTTCTGTGTCTGCAGGCTGGCAGCCACGCTGGTTCGTCCTGGAAGACGGCGTAATCTCGTACTACGACAGCGAGGACGACGTCGCGAAAGGCAGCAAGGGATCCATCAAGATGTCCGTGTGTGACATTAAAGGTGGGTCTGCCTGGCCTGGTCTCGTCACTGTGAAGGTAAAGGTATCCAACCACACGTTGTGTTTCAGTCCATCCTACAGACTCGACTCGTCTGGAGCTGATCATTCCCGGTGAGCAGCATTTCTATGTGCGAGCCGTGAACGCCGCAGAGAGGCAGAGGTGGCTAGTGGCGTTGGGATCGTCCAAAGCTGGAACTCTGGAAAGCCACAAACACAGAGGTACGTTGTGATGTAATCAGTTAACTTGATCAATAAAGCTTTGTTATTGTAAACAAACTTATCTGACCACTGTGTGTGTGTGTGTGTGTGTGTGTGTGTGTGTGTGTGTGTGTGTTGTCAGGTTCAGACTGTCTGAAAACCAAAATGTCTGAACTTCGCCTGTACTGTGACCTCCTTGTCCAGCAAGTCCAGACGATCCAATCACAGCACAGTGCAGACGCAGAAGCCCCGCCCACTTCAGAGGTAAGACAAAACCAACCTGTTTGGATTAAACTGGTCTAAACATGGGTCAGAAATGACCGCAAGCAAGTTGTAGAGAAGAAAGTAGACATTTAGAATCTTTGTCCTCAAAATAAAGAAATTGTACTCAAACTTGTTGCAATAAATCAATTAATCGCATGATAAATTAAAACCAGCTAGATCATTTCTATTTACAAGACTGTATTTTTCTCTTTTTATCAAAAACTGGATGACGTCTTCAGTCTGGTGCTTTGGTCTCAACTAAATTACGATAAATGTTCTATAGAAATTAAAGTTTATTGACCTTTGAAAATGTGTTCTTGCATTATTAGGCCCTTACTGTATGTTACTTCAAAATGGCCTCAAAGCAACAATATTATTGTTTATCTCAATAACGTCTGGGACAATTATGGTGATGGGCCTATCCAACATGTTGTATCATATCCAACATGCCGTATCATATCCAACATGTTGTATCATATCCAACATGCCGTATCATATCCAACATGTCGTATCATATCCAACATGTTGTATCATATCCAACATGTTGTATCATATCCAACATGTTGTATCATATCCAACATGTTGTATCATATCCAACATGTTGTATCATATCCAACATGCCGTATCATATCCAACATGTTGTATCATATCCAACATGTTGTATCATATCCAACATGTTGTATCATATCCAACATGCCGTATCATATCCAACATGCCGTATCATATCCAACATGTTGTATCATATCCAACATGCCGTATCATATCCAACATGTCGTATCATATCCAACATGTCGTATCATATCCAGTAAATCAGTATGATACTGATTTACTGAGCAGAACTTCACCCTGAACAGTGGACGTTAAATATGCTGGTTTAACTCTGTTCAGGCCTCGTTGCTCAGTGCCACCTGTGAGACGTTCATCAGGACTTTGGAGGAGTGTATGAGCCTAGCCAACCAGAGTTTGACCCCTGACCTCCGACCTCCTGAAAGGGTAATTCAGTTTTCATATGCGTTTATGTCATGCAATGCATGTTTGGACAGTTATTCTCTCTTGTTTTGGACGCTGTGCACCATACCAACTTTTAGACAGCTGTTATGGTGTGTTATCATGGCAACAAGGTACTCATAATCTCTCTGCTTGGCCAGGCAGATATAAAAAGTAGCAGCAAAGCAAAGGAAGTGGATTAGCAAGGGTTCTAAGAACTGATTTTAACATCCAGGAAGTGTTACTGTTGAGTATCGTCTCTGCTGCCCTAATATTGAGCTGTTAGCATCTCATACAGCAACAATCTTCAGTCAGAGGCCTCTTAAGATTTGTTGCGAGTCTGACTGCTGAAGGAGATCCTTCCTGCTCACAGGATCACCATCCACAACAATTCTTGGAAGCTACTTGGATGATATGAGTTACAATAACATTAATTCCCCCTTTAGAATACATGAAGTATTTTTTAATTGATTAAAAAAAAAGTAAAACTTGCACATTTTAAATGTCCTGTCCAGCTGCTCTTTTGTGAAATTGTGTGATTTATAAAAAACAAGGCTGGTTTTAATAACGTTGGCATCATAAATGTTTCTGTCCCTCTGCAGATGAAGCGCTCCATCAGCCACCCTGGTACTTACAGCTTTGACAGGTCAGTTCATCAGTAACACAGTGTAGACTTCAGAACAGACTAAAAAAGCCAGTTGATCAATAAATGTATTGAAGCTTCTTTCTTATCAACCAGTTGCTTCATTAAATTCAACCAGTTGCTTTTATCTAGATCTCTGTGACAGCCAAACATGTTCAGGTCTGAAACAAGGTGTTTGGTTTGTGTTGTTGTTTTCTGCACCTCGCTGCTTCCTGCAGCAAAATGATTTTCTACATTTCTGAGCTGTGAAATTCCTGCTGAGATTAACTTCAATCCTCTCACCAGGACTAACTCAGGAATTTTAAACAAGGATAGAAAAAAAACGTGTGGAGGATTTTACTACAGAAAACAGAGAAGTCTTTATTAGCAGAGGTTGACAAAAGTGAGTTGAGCATTAATTAGTAGAAAATGTAATAAAGATGTAACAAAGGCTGCACTGAATTATTTTTGGTTGGTTAGTATTAAAGTAAACATTTTTCAAATGAACAGAACCTCAGTTGTTGAGAGAAGAGCCACAACCTCAAACATGTCGTGTTTTAATAGAAACACAACACCAGCAGTTTTTTAAATACATTTTTAAAGGTTTATTTTTGCACTTAATGAGTTTCTGAAAATATCTTTTTATACAGACAGGTTTCCCTCCAGTGCAATCAAATGTGAGTCAGACCACATTGAGTTTGTTCCATCCTGTCTGGTGTGTTAGAGGCTTTATCTCCCTCCAGGTCAGGTGTACTAAAGGAGTATGTGAGTGGAGGTCAGAGGTCAGCTCCACGCAGACACCGAACGTCCTCCGACAGCTCCGTCTACGAGACTGAACGTAAGACTCAGACATTTTACTGAATATTTAAATGAGTTATGTAAAGACTTTCTACAACAGACACAACTGCAACGGGAAAAGAAGTAATTAAACCCCTCAAACCTTTTTACATTTTGTCACATCACAGCCACAAGCTTCAGCGGATTTAGTTACAATGCTGGGTGGAAGACAAATGCTTGAAATGTTTCTCTGACATAGAGCCATGTAATTTGACTGGTGGTGATTATCTGAAGTTTTGAGCACCACTAGCTAACATGCTAATCATCAACATTAAGTCCGCAAACACTAAAGAGCTGCACCAACATGGTATTTAGCAGACGCTAATGTTAAAGCTCTCACTTCCATTCAAATTCTATCTGTCCTTAAACCTAACACATGATCAATAATGTTTCTAGATATTCTATTTAAGTTCATATCTTAGTGTTTGTGATTAGTTGTTGCTGTAAGTCTGAAATAAAGTTATTAGGAGAGGAAATAAGAAAACTGGGGAAGAGAAAAAGGAAGTGGTGCATAAACAGTCTTCACCCACTTCAAAATAAGAGCATGAATATAAACAGCTAACTTCTTGAAGAATAGAGGTCTTTATTTAGCAGTTGTCAGACAGTAAAGTGGGTAATGACAGAGGGGGAAGATGTGCAGCATCGGTCTGCGTCTAGGACTGAGGCCTCTGAACCTGAGTTGTGCTTCATATCTGCACCAACGTCTCAATGTGTCTTACTTCAAGAACTCAACATTTGGTGACTTCAACACAGATGTCGAACTTTATTCAACTGAAAGTTGACTCAACAACCAATTAAATTAGTGCTTTAGAATTTATCCAAAAGATGAATTTAGGGGATGTTAAGTGCTAAAGTTCTCTGTCTTGCTCTCTGGCCAGATGAGTTTTCTGTTCGATTAGTGGCAAAAAAGCTGTGGGTTGGTGTGACGTTTATCTTGAAGCTCCTTTCCTGTTTTTTCAGGTTTGCTTCCGGCCCTGAACGGCGACTCGTCCTCCATCCCGGAGGAGAGGGGAGGCAGTGTGAGCCCGAAGACCACGCCCACAGACACAGACACCGACCTGTCCATCTGAACACGCGACGCCCGACGGGGTGGACAGGAAGGAAAGGTCATTTGGTCTAGAATTTTTAGGATTGTCCCTCCTGGGTTTTCTCCACAGAACCAGTTGAGCAGTTCAGAGTCATTCAGTTTCTTTCTGTCAGTGGTTCATTCACACTCTGGAGAGGTGAGACTCTTTTTGGGAGGTGGGGTGCTGCAGATGAACGATAGAAACCCGGGTCCGGTTTCAGGGCCACGCCAGCTGGTCATACCAGGCAGCTCTATGTGAACATGATGAACTGTGAATTGCTGATTTTTGGACATGCGCTGCTTTAAAAGGACCCCAGAATGTAAATCTGTGTGTTGGGACATTTTAGTGGCTCTGATGGTGGCGTCTCTTTGGACGGTAGAACATCATCTCCATCTATGACGGCTCTGATCTCAAGCTGTTCCTTACAGAACAGCCTCATTGACTAATTCAACAGACGTTGCTCCGCAGACCTCTGCCACTTGTCTGACTGCTTCTTCTTATTGCTACGATGAAGCGAATCCTGCATCTGATTGATGTTTCTTTAAACTAACCTCAGTTTACAATTATTCACCCAAATTCCGTTGTTGATGAGCAGGTCCAGTTTTGAGGAGTTGGGTCACATGAAGGGAGCTGACTTGTTACTGACAGCTTCAATGTGAACATATGTCAGAGTTTTGCTTTGGTAGTATTTGTATTTTGCATTCACTGTATTTTAGTGGTGGAATCCGGTCCAGTCTCACTCTGAGGCCATGATGAAACTGAGATATTTATATTTATATATTTTTTATGAATGTCTCTTGGGAAGTTTTGTGGAAGAGGTGGTAAAACTGGTGGTTTACTGTAAGTCTATCTTTAACTGTTCTGATGTTACAGAGTTTAGATGTTAAACTTTAACTGGGACGTTTTTATTGGATTGCAAAAGCAGGAAGTAATTTAGTTTGTAGCTTTGTTCCAAACACGACTGTTTGTACCCAACAGGGCAACTTTGTTTTTTGTACCTGATTTAAACTGATCATTTCAAGTCATTTTCTACCATCGACCTGCAGTCTGTTGTAAGGATATGTAGGTCTGAAACTCCAGTAAACGATATCTGCAGTTATTCAGGTTTAATCAGATGTTACAATCTGTTTTATTTGTTAGGGATCAACTGAATCAAACAGGGATGAGAACCAAGATAAAGTCGTGGAAACACTGAACTGCTGATAAACAAAGATGGAAAGTTATGTGATTAATAAGACTGAGACACCAGAGGTCACAAACTGACAAAACCCAGAGCAGGAGTTTAATTGGTTTAAAGTCACTGGAGTGATTAGGTATAATGCTTTCTATAATGATTCTTAGTGGCATTTTGATGCTAGTATCCTTCAACCACCAGGTGGCACCAGAGTTGAAGTGTTTGAGTCTTGTCAGAACAATGAGCAGCAAAACTTTTCCATTCTTGAATCTTCAGCAGCTCACTGCTGTTCACAGACTGGTGGGAGAAAACCCTCTGCTTTCCTAAATGACATTGTTATTCTTCTCTTTCATTTCATGAGAGTCACTTACAGAGTCCCATCTGCTACTGATGAACTACTGGAGATGAGCCACATCACTCCTGTAAACTCTAAACTTCAGCAGATGTAGAAAATGGTCCAAACATTTTGCCATTGCAGATTATAATGAGGGATTCTTCATAAATCACATCATCCTGTCTGTGTGTTCATAATTATACCTATATGTATTTTATAAAATGTTTTGGATGATTTTAAAGTCACAGTCCAACCTTCAAAGAATGTGATCCTGAACATAAGTGACAGAAACTGAACATAGAAGATTGCTGATGATGATGATGTGGTTGTGTTTTCATCTTAACTTGTACAACAACCACATTTTCTTTTTGTTTTTTATACCTCCTCTATCCTAACAGTGATTGGCTCTCAGATCTCCATTGTCAGGATTAGTTCAGCTGGTTCTCAGAGGGTTGCAAAGGGTTGAAGAGTGATCCGTTCTGGTGATCCTCAGTAGATCACAGGAGCCTAAACTATTTCAAACGGTTGTTTCATGTGGAAGCAGGCCAGTCCTGGAGGCCATTTGTGCCGTCGTTGGTCATTGCTGCATTGATTTGGTGTGGAATGTTTAAACTGCATCTTCACAACTTATTTTCTGTTGTGGCACTTAACATGAAGTAATAAAAACATGTGGTGTTTTTTCTGTGACTATGATTTTTGATCTCTGCACGCGCCTGACGGACAGCTGCAACGTTTCTGCTTGTTACCAACAGATGCACATTTTACACTCCTGTAAAGAAATCGCTTGAATGCAGAGAAAAAAAACGACTATCTGATTGGATAGTCGTGAAAACTGTCAAATTGTGAAGCTGTTGTATTTTTATATGTCATGTACATGTCTACATGCACATTCACCACAACTTGTAACTTTTCCACAGGCAAAATGAAAGTATTCAGTAACCATGTATTACCTTCGCCAACATAAAGTCTGTAAATGTTGATTTTCACTTTAAAGTGATTCTGTCAGTGTTAAGTGGATTAAAGTGACACTTTACAATGTGATGGCTTTTTCTGATTATCATACAGGTGTCATGATGTTCTCTGTTGCAGGATGTTCCTATAAATTCAATGTAAATATTTACTCTGAATATTTACTCACAGATCAATTTAAACAATTTGACTTAATTTTCTGCTGCTGACTAACATCGTTTGTCACAGCATGATGAAGCAGCATTTTCATACTTTAAGCTAAGTGATGACATCCATTAGGTTTCATTAATGTGATTTAGCCAGATCTTGTTTGAACATGTGAAGAGTTTGTATGAAAATAAAAAATGGATATTAGGAGAAAGTTCTGTTGCATTGAAAGCAGATTCCAAGATGAGCCAGTCATCTTGGAATTACAATCTTAATTCTTAGGGATTTTTCTTTTTATTGCAATGTTTCATCATTCAGTCTGTGTTTATTTTGGAACCAAAGGAAATTTTCTAATCACTTGTAGTTCTTACATTTGTTGGATAAATAGTACAATTCTCTTCATGTGGTTCTTACTCAGCTCAGTTTCCACAATGTCAGACTAAAGTTGAAGTAAATGGTTTTTGATTTATATATTTATAAAGTAGAAAAATGTAATTCATCTCCTGAATTCCTTTTATGTATTTATTACAGCCTGGTTGTTAGCCTGATATCAGGAACTGCCTTAAGAGCTGCACAGAGCGACATGTGGTTGTATCACATCTGATTTTTATTGTCTGAATAAAGTTTTTGAAGCTGATTCAAAACTCTGCATATTTAACTCGTGTAAAAACTTCTAAATATTTGACCTCTGTTATGCATCGTCTGTCATGTTCATAAACCTGAGCTGCTCTGCTTCACTCTGAACATTTCAAACTACAGACACCATGGATACCAGGCACAGATACCACTACTTCAGAATTTACTCAAGTACAATTTTAATGTTGCAGTCGCAACATGATAATGTTAATAAGAAGATGCTCTGTTGAAGAATTATTTGCATTAACAGTTCATTTTTATTTGTCAGTATCACTAGTTGGGATTTAGACAGTTGCTACCTCTGCTAACGGGTTTTCTTTTTGGAGCAAACTTTTTAGTATTTTCAGTGGGTTTATTTTTTCCTTCAAATAACTTTTTATGATGCATTAGTTTTAACTGGAAAATTAATACCTGGAGTAAAAAGCATCTTCACAGGATTATAACACCTATAAGGTGGACTTGGGGGGAGGTAAGTTTACTTCATACATTTAAAAAAATGTTTTTTAAGAAAACAATTTTGGCTAAACTGTTTTCATCATTCGAGGTCACCTGTTTGTTTTGAGGGGGTGTGGGGGGGGGGGTTGGAAGCCCCTCTGTAGCAACTTTAGTTTCAAACAAACAGACTTTGTAAAAAACCATTTCAGGGTTACAGTGAATGCAGAATGTTGAGTATAGAGATAACCAATTAATACTAAAGTTGTGTGAGATATAATTGTTCTGCCAGACAGAACAACTCCCTGTAAAAGACATTTTTAAACGTGGGAACCCAAACCTTATTCCTGATCCCACAAGCGACTTTTCTTTCATTCCGTCTTTAGAGCTGCTGTCTGTCGTTTGGTGAAGTTTTCCGGGCCAGAAGAGACTCTGAATTCAATTTGTTTGGGTCACTACAACCAGCCCCAGGCTTTCAATGACTGATGGTAAGTCCTGGCTTTTTTTGGAGCCTGACATTTTTACTCCCTTAACTTTTTATTGGTGTCTACATGACATGCAAGCTTCACCACATGTGCCTGTTTAAATGAAAATGTGCCCTGTGGAAAGTTATCTAATGCTGCTGCTATTGTTGCTGTAGAGAAAACACTTTGCAAAAACTCTTTGCTTTTAACATCCTGGAGGAATTACATCACTACCACAGAACTGCTTTTATTCCTTAATCATGTGATGATAATGACAAGAGACATAATGTGGTTTCATTATGTCTCTTTTCCTTCAAAGGTCAAGAGTTTTTTTTGGTCTTTTTATCAAACTACTACACAAAGAAGAGGCTGAGAAAACGTCTCATCACTTTGCTTCAATGCCTCACATGCTATTAGTATACAGTTGCACCAAAATCATATTTGGCGGAGCGTGACGTCACACTCCATGCTGAGGAGGTCGACCATTAAGAGTGGAAAATACAGGAGCTCGTTTCCTGCAGACAACAGAGCAGTCTTTTCTGCATCACCTTTCCTGAGCAGAAATGGATGGTTTCCAGCACACTGGAAACAACAAGAGGTTCTTTGTGTGATCTGAGAGCAGCTTGTTCCACCTACAGTAACTATTAAGCCTCTCCAGATGTCTGTTGAAAAGAAAGGCTTTCCACTACGGCTGCCAGCAAACATGCAAATGCATCTGTGAACTAATGCAGAGGATAGAAGATAGAAAACAACCACAGAACAGCTGAGAGTCAGAGACCAGAGAAAAGATGTGAACTGGGTTTTTTAGGTTTATTGTGTAATAAAATGCTGTAAGATTTTTTTCTGCCTGAGACTCAAACCAGCCCAAGTACACTCTGACAGTCACAGTGTTCTCCATCTCTCTCCCTGTGACTGACAAAGGTTGGCACCAGAACTCCCAACCATCCAAAGACAAGTTGGTAAAGACAAACAAATGTGTTAAAATGTACGATATTAAAATGATTTGGATTTGAATTAAACTGGACAAAAACCTTGGACTCAATCTTTTCAGGTTCTAAATGGGATTGAATTTACTGGGATTGCTAAAAGTCCTAGACTGAAGTGGACATAGTGAGGGGAACTGATCTGTTCAAATAAAATTAAATCTACAAAAACTTTAAAAATAATCTATTTAAAATGGCTGGCTTCAACTTGATTTCTGTTCCTGAACTTACTGTTAATTCTATGGTAAACTGGATGACAATTGGATTATGACAATTGGATTAAATTATATAGAAATAAACTGTTAGGCATTGGATCCACTCCCTCTCACTGAACATTCACTACCATCAGATCAGCGTCTATATTCTCTTCTCTCCATTTGTCGTCTCTGTCCTCAGGGAACAGCTGGTCTCAGCTGCAGGAGCTCATTTTAGGAGCAACTTTATCCTGTGGAAACGTCTGTGACTCGGGTTCTTCACATATTTATGTTGACATTCATTGACTGTGATACAAATGGTTAACAGTACCTGGGAATAGAAACAGATTTTCCATGGAAAAAAGCCTTGGTATCTAAGGTAGCTATAGCAACAGCGACTTGTTGGACTTTATGTTTAACTAAAGCTCAATTGAACAGTTCCTCAATCTGAGTTGGGAGTATCAGGGGTCCCAAGTCCCAGAGGGATGAGTTCCTGCAACTTTTGGTTACGCCTTTGCTTCAACATACTTGAAGCAAATATGATCTCATTATCAGAAATCTGTGAAGGTTTTATGCTGGTAGAACATCTTGAAGAAAAAGATGGCTGCTGGAATGAGACAGAAAGACTTAGTCCTTAATCCAGCAGATTATTGTCCTACTTTCAGCTCATCCTACATCCTACACCCCAACTCTTGAATCCACCTCCACTGCTTCTGGCCTGGATTCTGTTTCCAGAACTTCTAAATGAGCAAAATAAAAATCATCCACATATGCAGACATATGAATGAGCATTTCAACACAAGATCATACAAACATGAATGTGTTTGTGTTGATATCTTGAGGCGCCGTCAGCATGAAGCAGCAGGCTGGGACGATCGTCTGAACGGCGCCACCAGGAACATCTTCAAGGCCCCTGCAGAGAGCAGTGTGTGAATGTGTGTGTGAGGTGAGCTCAGGCTGTCTGTGGATTGAATTAAACTCACTTGACTTTCAGTTCACTGGAACACACTGAAAAAAAAAACTGGATTTATTTCAACTGAGTGTAAATAGATTTTAATTGCACAGCTTGTCTATTTTTACTTTGTACTGAGATGACTGTTGATCGCTGGCGCCTGATTTACAAGATCACCTGAACTCAACTGAATTATATTATCAGCCAAAACCTCTCTAGCGCCTCCTTTAGGTCAGTTTTTGACTCTAAACAATGTCTCAGCTTTGTTTCTAATTTAAGCAAATCTTCAAAGATGAATGGTTATTGTTATCATCACATGATCTCTTCCATCATAAAAATCAATGCCATACTCATAACTGATTAAGGGCTGCAGCTTTGACTGAACGATAAAAGCAGCTGTAAGATGTAAACATGAGCTGCTGCTGCACATCACAAGACAGCAGGACAGTTTCACGTTGTCTCAGATGGTGGTTTGGAAAATGGTGCAATGCCCTGGCTGCCGTTTCCATCCCTCTAAGTCTGTCAATTAGTGATAATGGACCCCATCAGCAGAGAGAGGCCACTCCCTCGCTCCTGCTACCCTCCCTCCCTCCTTCACACCACCACACTTTCTCTCTCTCTGCCCGTCTTTCTTTCTACCTCTCAGTCAGTAATAATGGAGCCCGGCAGTCCAAAGAAGATCCAGTTCGCTGTTCCTCCCCTGCAGGGACAGATTGACCCACAGGCTGCTGAGCATGTGAGTTTCTGTGCATGTTTCTGATGTTTGCTGGGGGCAGGAGAGGGTTCACACATGTGAAGCGCTGAATGAGGCTTCATAGTGAGTTTTGCCTGGAATGTTGTGTGTGGGTGCAGAGCAGCATGTAGTGCTATGACAACTGATATTTGTGCGGCTCAGTGGAGTTTTCTTTGTAAGCTTTGCAAGCTGGTGTGTGTTTCTGCTCATTTCTAGAAGATTTAAATATTTCCACCAAAATCTTGAGTAATTTTAGTCAGCTCTGTGCTGATTTATTCTGCTGCTTCCTCCCAACTCAATCAGCCTCCCTTGTTTTCCTTCCATAGAGACACAGAAAGGTTAATCCGTAAGATTAATACCATGTTTACTCCATATGGTTTACCTCTTTCTTGAGTAAACAGGAACTCTCTGAGTGTAGAAATCTGGTGGAGGACCAGAAAAGGCCAGACACTGTGTAGTATTCCTTTAGCTTGCATGTGAATGGAGGCTCCAGAAGGAAGGAACAGAAGCTGCTCTTTCATAAATCCTAAAACGTTATGAGTTTAAACCGGTGGCCCCCGTTTGGAGGCTGGACGGCGACAGAAGCTGCTGATTTACCCATCAGAGTTTAGAGTCCGGCTGTTTCAACTCAACGTTTCCACAAGGTTTTAAAGTTTGTGCATTTTGTCTCACCTTTACAGTAATAATGACGTTTTATAGTGTTGTGTGAAAGCCAAACCTGGTCTTTACAGTAATGTGTCACAAGATGAGGCAGTTTAGAGGCCAAACAAATCAAAATGCATTGAATGGAATCAGATGGAGAAACTGTTTTGACTTCATAGACGTCTCCTCTGAAATGATCGTGACCTTAGCAAACCATAGATCTGCTTTTTTTATGTAAATATTTAAGTAACAAGGTATTCTAAATGTATCAGATATTTATTAACTCTGTAAGGTCTTCAGTCAGTAGACTTTATATGTGGTAAGTTTCTGTTCATAAAGCTCATTTCTGACAAAACATAACTGTGCTAACATTCAAATATTGATCATATTTATTAGTATCCCTGGAAGGGATGATCAAAAAGCCTTACAATAAAAAAAAATCATTTTGTTAAGAGTTTATTTTTTATTTTGTCTGGCTCATTTCCTGTCTCACTCATCACATTCCCATCAAATCCTTGTGCAGATCCAACAAGATGGATCTCATGTCTGTTTGTCGGACAGTCGGCCATGTTGTCGAGTTCTGAGGTCGGATTGACATTAACGTTCTAATTGCTGCATACTTCAACCTCACCTGATTTTACATCAAAGATAACAGAAAAACAAATCTGGTGTGTTTTGAGCCTGAGACAGGAAGTGAGACATGCATCTGCTTTGGGGGAGAAATACACAAAACAACTTTTACTCGCAGTGTACTGACCCATGGTAGGACCTCAGAAGCACAGAACAAAATGAAAGAGTGAACTTATCACCAGACCAGCTTGTGTTTACAATTCCTAATACATCCTCTCATGTGAAAACTTATTCTTGTGAGTCCATTAGTGTGTAGACTGACTGTGATGTTGAAACCTTCGTGGTTGGCGTGTTGGGAGTTGGATGCATACGGTGTGTTTTGAGGTCGCTATGCTATTCTGTCTGTTTGCATTGTGAAAGAGGTCTGAACCACTGACCTGGACCACACTGCTGCTGAAACCCCTTCAGTTGTTCATCCAGGTTCAACGGTATGAAACAGTCAGGGTGGAGCTACTGGCGTTACACAACATAAACCATCGGTTGGGCGACTGAAGAACATCACCGCCTGCAAAAAGCACGAGAATCAGAGCATCATGTTTGTCATCGTACAAGTACGACCCAATGTTAACGTTTGGGGTTAACATTGGACTCACTCTGAGTGAGTCCAACTGGCAGTGGAAACTCTGTACCGTAGACGAAAGGCTACAAAATAGTGTTTCGATCCAATTCATGCCGTACCGCTCCGAGGAAACGAGGCATAACTGGAATTGGCCTGATGAGATTTAGCTTGTTGACAAAACGGGCTGGGTGTGAAATGAAGGAACATTAGATGGCAAAGGACCTGGTGGTCAGTGGATGCATGGTGGAGGATTAGAGATCAGTGTTTCTCCAAAAGACTCAGGATCCTGGAGTTTTTGAAATTTAAAATTCTAAATCTGGTAGACTCCACCAGAAAGGGCTGAACACTGGGTCTTTCAATGGGATAGTGATGAATAACACTGGGCTAAAAATACTGGTGGCTCTTTGGACACTCCTGATGCAGAGAGATATGGACCAAAGAATGAAGCAACAGTCAAAGCAAATGACAGCAGGGGCACTTGGGATTTTGTTTAAAAAAAGGATTATTGGATTTTCTCCAATGAATAGATTCACTCAACTTAAATGTTAAAGTTTAATAACTGTTAGGATGAGACTCTGCTGCTGCAATAAAAGAAGTTTTTTTTATTATTTCACTAATATATTTGCCCTCTGTATATTCAAAAACAATGCTTTTCCAGCCATCTTGTGACTGATTTCATTACGTTTTCCTTGTATTGTGTGTTCGCCTCAGATCCGCCGCAGGAGGCCAACCCCCGCCACCCTGCAGATCTACAGACAACCTGGGACAGGTGAGGAACCTCAGGGAGCCTGAGGGAGCCTGAGGGAGGCAGGGGGAGGTAGTGGGGTGGAGGGAGACGGAGCAGCAGCTGCAATAATGGAGGCTTCATTAGATTACTTTCTGTAAAGTGATCCGAGCGTCCAGGCTGGACGGATGGACGCAGAAGCAGTGAGTGTTTGTGTGTGGCGCCCAGCTCCTGTAAATCCTTCCACAAAGGAACCGACTGATGAAATAATCTGCCTGATTTCACTCAGAGGGTTCAGCTTCCAGCTTGTTTCTTCAACATGACCAACATAAAAACTGAACCCAAAAGAGTCCAGAGCCAAAGACTGGAATGTGTCTCTGTTTTTGCCTTGTTATTACCTTCAGTTCTCCTTCCTTCTGCTGGCAGCTGGACAAACAAAAAACATGTTCATGATCTCAGTTGGGAAACAAGGTCAAGAACTCTGCAGCTGTTACTTTATTATCATTCTGCTAAGATAGCAACTAAAACAAATTTGGATATATATATTTTTAAAAGTTATCTAATTTAAAAAGAATTCAACTTTTTATCATTTAGGATTTTTTTAGGATTTAAATCTATTTGATATTTTGATTAGGACAAATCAAAATGAGACAAAAACATCTAAAAGTGCACAAAATAACACTAATATAGCTTGTTGCTTTAAAATATTAATAAATAAAATTTTGTTCTTTTTGACTGATGATGAGTGTCACTTTTATGCTAAATATTGATAAAAAGGTCAAATGTGACATTTAAACATCATTTGTAACTTTTCTTCTAAATGACCTTGTCTTTTAAACACATCATGTTTTGACGTCCTGCATCAAAAAAACCTCACATGTGAGGAAATGAAGATCAGTTTTTGAATCATCAAGTCTTGGAACGTCAGCAACAGAACTTTGTGGAAACCTTGCTCTAAAAGGGCCTTATCCAGAACAGAGAACCATGGAGAAAAACAACAGATCAGAGTGAAACGATGGAATCTGTTACTGATTGGTTTGAACATGAACCTCTGACTCCTTGTCTCTCCTGCAGATGTTGGAGATCAACAAAACGCCAGTGGGGAGCCACAGGTTTGGAAAAAGCTTGCAATGACACACACACACACACACACACACACACACACACACACACACACACACACACACACACACACACACACACACACACACACACACACACACACACACCCACACACAATCACATCAGAAGCAGCACAGAGCTGCTGGAAGCTGGAGGTCCTGAGGGGAACACGCTCAGATAAAAATATACATTTTTATGTAATACTACCATGTTAAACATGGTAGTATTTGTGTTTTCACACAGGCACAGGTTACATTGCAGAGCTTTTCAATGTGTTCATAAAACTGCTGCCTAAAAATGCATTTCTTCAGATTTTCTTTGTTTGATGTTAAGTCCTAAAATACAAAAGAAATCATTTGTAATGAAACAAGCACATTTTTTGAATGACTAGAATAGTGATTTTTTGTTTTTACTGTCATACTGAGTTTCTTCAAATGTTGAATCAACTCATGTTTGAGGTTTTTACATGGCCAAAGCCTCACAGCAGCATGCAGGGCAGGTTTCCCTCTGAAAGTATCTTACATACAGTATTTATGTGAGCTCACAGTCAGAATTAGTTTTCTCTTTCTTCCTAACATGAACTCATCCAGAAGGTACTGTTTGGATGTTTCGGGGGGATTCTCAGTAGTTCTGGGGTTTTGTCTTGCAGGCCTCAGAAGCTGCTCAGAGGAAGCAGAGCACATACGCCCCCCCATCAATGAAAGGTAAACACTGACTTCATATCGGTTAGAAAACTTCAACATTCCTACAGAATGAATAAAAACCATTTTGAGAACAGATAAAATGGCTTGAGGGAAAGTTTTCTGCTTCAGTTGAATTTTTTTTTGCTGATCACTAAAGGGACTTGATAAAAGTTGTGGTAATAATAAAGCACTTGGTAAACCTGATAAAAACATAAACAGAGTTTGTTCTTAGAAAGTAAAGTTGTGCAGGCATCACTGGTGTCCAACTTATATTAGGTCAACTTGTGCCATAATTTATTATAAATTTCTTTAATATTCTAAGAAAAGAGATTAAACCTGTTATTTATTGCTGCCTGTTTAGAATCACTGGATCTGCTGAGAGTTGGAGTTCAGCTAATATGTCTGATGGTTTCCTTTCTGTTTGGTTGTGTTTTACTTCCTGTTTGTTTTGTTTGACATGCCATGTATTCAGTTGTTTTCCTACTTTCTGTTTTTTTTTCTGGCTGGATTCCATTTTTTATTTATTTATTTATTTTTTATCTTGTCAGTGGAGTCCAGTTGGTGTGATGCTGGGGAGGAACACATTTCATAATCACACAATTTATTTAATGTTATTGTAACATTAGGATGTGAGGTAAATAGGAGCAGAACATTGAGAGGGAATAGCACAGCTCTCCAGACTTTATTCGACTTTACGTTAACAGACCAGAATCGTCTCAGGTCCTCCTGAAAAAAAAAAAAAAAAAAAAAAGAAACAGCTCCTCTAAAGGCACAGCACAGTTCCTTAACCATGGATATTTTATGTAACCAGATGAATTGAAAAGGAAAAACAAATCACCTTACATTATTATTATTATTATTATTATTATTATTATTATTATTATTATTATTATTATTATTATTATTATTATTATTATATTAAAGCTGAAGTCAAAGACTAAAGAGAGCCTAATAGTCTATTACCTCTCATCACCACAGCAGATCAGTTTCCTTCTTTTGATGCAACTAAACCTCTTTGGAAAACTATTGATACTTCTTGAGCATATCTATATTTTGTCATTTTACAACTAAAGACTTCAATATTTCTTCAATGGGATTTTGCATAGAAGACCAAACACAAAGTAACACACAACTCTGAAGAGGAAGAAAAACAAATAAAAAAAAATCAGTGTATGTTTGTATTCAGCCCCGAGTGACATTTTTGTGAAACCAGGTTCTAGCAGATTTAAACTGAACCTTTTGTTCAGCACAACAGCTCAAACTCACAGAGGCTGGATGCACTGAATCTCTGGACTTTACCTTTTTTCTGTCTTGCATTCTCATTTGGATTTAGATCTGGACTTTGATTGCATGAGTATATATGAGTAAAAGTCTGACTCACTGCAATTGAGTGAGAAAACACTGAATTGTATTGTTTCTCAAATGGAAACACTGCAATTGGGAAATTACGTTTTTGGACAACACTTCAAATCTGTAGATGGATGAAAGTTGTGAAATATTCCCCCAGAAGATAACAGCTCTAACTGCAGAAGAGACTCATCCAAGTATTTGTGGAAATCATGTGTAATTTTCTTCTACTTCACCAATTTCTGTTGGGCTATTGCACAAAAGCCCAATAATAAAGCACAGGGATGTGTGGTTGTATTATGGCTAAATGTAGAAAAGAACAAGTGCATCAGGATATTTTTGCAAGGCAGTGCAGATCCTCGCTCCTGATGGAATTAGTGGCTCTAAGTTTGGCAGTGAGAATATCCCTGTTTTATCACTTTTCAAAGAGCTTCAGCTCATCCTATGGCAACAAAACAATGCAAAGTGCACCTGCATGATGATGGCTCTCAGCCATAAATAATTCATCAAACTGTGTCTTGCAGCAAAGCAGCATCACTTCCTGCAGTGAAGTTTGAAGAAGGTTAAATAAAAGTGTTTTCTCTAATACATTTAACATAAACTACATGTTGGAAAAATGTGGATGTTAAAAAAAAATTACAAATAATGGGAAAGAAGATGCACAACACATGATTACACGTAAAGAGCGCTGACTGGATTCTGGGAAGAGCTGGAGTGTAAAAGCTTTTCTTTAATCGATCCCATCCGAGTGAATCTGTTAAAAGCCTCCTGAGTGACTGCAACACACCAAACACTGGACTGGATCACAGGAGGAGGATTAGGAGCAACACATTTTCCTCTCTTGTTAATATCATAGTAATATTTTTAAAGTAGAGACATACAGATAATTTTTTTCTCTTCCGATAGCAATACTGGTACCAATTTCTAAGGTCGAGTATCGGCCGAGATCCACAGAGATGTAAACCTCTGGACTGAAACCTGGAAACGTAGAATATTTATGCTCTAACCAACCCACTGGACTACTGGACTCTTCTATTCTCCCTCTTTTCAGTTAGAATCTTTACTTATTATTTTATAGTTTTTTCCCTAGTTTTCTGAAAAAGACTTCTTCCAGTTCGCAGCATTGTCCCTGTAGTTCAAATGTCTCTCCACTAGAGGTGCTGTTCTCTCCTCAGACCTTGGGCTGGGGGTGGAGCAACATCTCCTGGGGGCGGGGCTCTGTGAACCAGACAACCACCTGAGTCCAATCACAGCACAACTGTATGCCACCGGTTTCACGTGGGCCAATCACAATCAGCCAGAGGAAGCCAATGGGAATGATGCGTGTTTGCTGTTATCCAATCAGGAGAGAGGCGTGGCAGAGAGCAACAGCTCAGGCGGTAAACTGTTTCTTAGATCAGAGAAGGAAGTTCATTTTTTTATACATTGTAATGTTATAGACAAATTTGATTGATAAGGAGATATAGTTTGCATAATGTATTTTAGACAGAAGTGTTGTCTGAAGAATAATATTTTTCATTAATATTTAATACCAACGAACAAAGTTATCAGTTATTATTAGTAAGTTCTACTGTAAGCTCGTCTCTTTTTTCATATTTAAAATATGTTCCTCTGCTCAGTCTCACTGGTCTCATCTTGGAAAAATGTAGTTTATTAGAAAAAAAGACATACATTGTTTTATAAATAAGCATTTTTACATGGTAAATCCTTACCAATGACATAGTTTTACTCCAATTTTCACTTTAAAACAATTAGATTTTCATTTAGTTAGTGTCAAGACTCGGCATGGTTGCAGTTTTTTCTGTTTTCTCAGTCATCTTTTTTTATCCAAATCATAACATTATTAAATTTTATTTTATTCACATGAATTGCAACATTTGCTTTCTTGGTTACAAACAGTTTCTTTCCAAAGTGAAGATACAATGTTCCAGTTTTGGAGGAATTTGTTGGTCACTATGTGAAAGCAGCTCTTATCAGCCACAGGAGGTTGTTTTTTTTCTCTGCTGTGTAGAGCGAGATAAAACCACATGCCAGCAATAAACCAAAAAAAAAAGAAAGCCTTTAGTGTTTGCAGAAATCAAATTTATTACTAAAACAGCTTAAAGAATTTATCATTTTAGTTTTTTGACAAAGCCATAAAAGCTACACTTGCAGCAAACGTATAATATTAAGATGATATGATGGAGTATTACAACCGTATTAAGAAACAATAAAAATGTAAAAATGAAATTATGAGAGTATAGTCATAATATTGCAAGAATACTGTTGCACTAGAGTGAAGTCAAAGTAATACTGTTGCACTAGAGTGAAGTCAAAGTAATACCACATTGAAGTCATAATATTAGGAGATTAAAGACATAAGGTTATGAATTTATTCTTGTAATAGGCTACTAAGACTTTATTATATTATTTTGACTTTATTCTCTTCTGACTTCATTTGTAATACTATGACAATTCTCATGATACAAGAACTTTATTCTCACAATATTATAAATTTATTTTAATGCTAAGACTTTTTTCTCCTTATTTTGACTTAACTCTCATTCAACTATAGTCTGGTAATATTAAGACTCTTCTATGACTGTATATCATGACTTTGTTCTTGTAACAGCATGCCTTCATTTTCTTAGTGTGACCCTAATACTCTGTCGTAAGGTTGGAAAGCCAGGATGTTCTGTATCGTGTTTAACAGCGTTCATATTTGTCCTGATAAACCTCTTCTGCTGGTACTAACTCTCTGTCTCTCTCTTTCGGTTTCTCCTTCTCTTGTGGTTTTTTGCACGTTTCCCTCTCAGATTTGACCGTCACCAAAGCTAAAGAAGCTTCCAGTCCTGACTCCATCTCCCGATAGCTGTCTGCTTCGTCTAACATCACTTCTGTCCTTCTGTGTCTCATTAACCAAATGTTCTCCTGTCTGCTTTCACACTTATTCAAATACTGCTCTACTTTGGTATTATCCAGCTCTGAATTACTATTTTTATTTTTGAATTTTACATTTTTGGGGGTTTGTTTGGGTCGGTCTGAATTTTTAAAATGTGGCTGTGAATAAATCCATATTAAGGGCAAACAAATGTCTGAGTGTTGTCTTCTTAAATAATAAGGCAGATTAAAGTCCCCTATTTTTAGAGTAATATGAATAAAAGTTGGGTTGAAATTGAAATGTTCTAATGTTCCACTGTTATTCTTGAAATGATCTAAACACAGTGGACTGTGCCAAACCCATGCTATGAGAGATTCAACCATCAGGGACGGGTACCGGTCTCAGGGACGGGCACCGGTCTCAGGGACGGGTACCGGTCTCAGGGACGGGCACCGGTCTCAGGGACGGGTACCGGTCTCAGGGACGGATATCGGCCGTCTGAGAGACCCGGTGTTCATGTTGCTGCATTAGCAGCTGAAATAACTTCAATGTTTTCCTAAAGAAGAGTGTATGGGGAGCAAGAAAAAATGTCCCCACTGTTTCTAATAGTAGACATGGCCCCCAAAAGACTAAACACCCTCAGGCACGATAACCTCCAAAAATACAAAAGAAAATACCAGAGATCTGACCACTGTTTGTGTTTCGTTTCCCACTCAAAGAATGGTAGAAAGGTGTTTTCAGTTACTCATATATTGTTGTTTGTATTGCTTTGTCTTTTATGCTGTCTAGTATATATATATATATATATATTATATATATATATATATATATATATATATATATATATATATATATATATATATAATATATATATATATATATATATATATATACTATATATATATATACTATATATATATATATTATATATAACTAAATATATATATATATAACTAAATATATATATATATATATATATATATAATATATATATATATATATATATAATATATATATATATATATATATATATATATATATATATAATAATGAATATAAGTTCAAAAGTTCCTCATTTATACCTGGTGGGATTTTCTGGGGACTTGTGTGAGAGTTCTCTTGCCTGATAAAGTTTAGTTGAAATTTCTTGTGCTTTGGGTTGATAGGAGATCCTCCATGTCGTCTACTTGTGGCAGGAACATCCAGGAGTAAGAGAGAGGCTTGCATGTGAGATGTGTGTAAACAAGATGTGGTTTCTTCAAGTCTGGCCTAATTTCCCAGAATGTTTAGAAAATCATTCAATTTGTCTTAATCAACATCACCTGTTTGTCTGGCAGTAAACCAAGAAATGACATGTCTGAGTTACTTGTATTGCTTTATCATCCACTGGTGAACCTCCCACATATAACCATGTTCTTTCAACAGCTGTAAAACTGATACTGGGTACTGCCTAGGATCCAAAAATCATCCAAATCTGTTGGACAAACATTCATTGTCTTCGCTCTTTCTGTCTAAAGGTTCCACATATTTGGCCTTTCTTCAATCCACGGAGGTTCATGCGCATTCGAAACAGACTCAAAGCAGATGTCCACCTGGCATCTTGGTGCAAAAATACATTTTTATGGCCACATATGTGTAGTCAGTGTCACACAGTACATGTGACACCAAGCTGATACAGTTGAGAATCAATTCACCCATTGACTGTAGGAGTCCATTCCTTGGACTCCTACAGTTCAGAGGACAATTGTAATGTGCCTATGGTGGAACTACTGGCATCACACAACACTGAACAGAAAAACTTCATTACGTCCAACAACCTGGAGACATACTAGTGAATCACGTTTGTCGTCACTCTAGTTTGCTGCTTTGTTAGGTGTGTGGGTTTGACCCTACCTCACCAATGAGAGTCCAGCTGGTGGAGGAAGCTCTCCTGCATGTCACACTATAACATAGCGTACCAGATCAGACCGACCCGGTAAGAACCGCTCAGTGGAAATAAGGCATAAGAAATGGAGAGCGAGCAACATTCCTATTGCTATTTGGGAGAGACCTTTCATTTTGCCTGTTGTGAAAGAGGAAATCTGTCAAAACTGAGAGCTTCAAAGACTTTCCCTGCCCTTTCCCTTAGATCAGAAAAAAAAAAATCCAGATTAAGGAGAGATCTTTTGTTTAATGATGTACTTTAAGTCTAGATAACCTTGAGTCTTAGTTCAATTAGAAGTCTGCTCAACAGCAGAAGACATTTTCTATTGTTGGTCATTGTTGTTAGTTTGGTTTGTTACTTGTATCACTTATCAGAAGATATGGGTGACTGTATAATAATTCATTTATATTTCGATTCTCTAACTATGCCATGGTGATCTTCTCATAATCTGTATATAACATTTGTCTGAAATAGAGATAAATTAGACTCTTGAATGGAATTATTCAATGAGAAGGAAACAGAAGATTCACCACATTTACTCAAGTCTAGTTTAAAGTTAGTTTTATTTGCTTAAGTTGAACAAATAAATGATGCATTTCATATTTCAGACTGAATTGCTGAAATCAATGAACTTTCTGATTAAATTCTAGTTAGCAAAGATACAAAGTATTGCATCAGCTCATCAGGGTGGAGCACTGGGCTGAACTGAATGGAGAAAAAAATTGGTGACTGGGTTTCTTTTTTTTTTTTTTTAATGAAGGTAAACTGGAAAGAACTGTACCAGAGGAAGAAGAGGGGGAAAGCAGCCATCAGGGATGACTGATCGTCACCAGCAGCAAAGATACTTCAGCACAGAAGAAGCAGGCATATATTTTGAAGTTTGGAAAAATCAAGTTGAATGCCTACATCAAATCAAATATAGTACTAACATAACAGGGAATCTGTCAGAGCGATAGCTCTCACAGTTTTGCAAAAAAGTATTTTTTTTTATGTAAGCATGTAAACAAACCTGCTGAAGTTTTCCAGAAGTATCTCTCCATCATGTTCTACACACAAACTATCAGTTTACACACTTATTGTTCCAACCCTTACATCTGTACCAGTGAGACAAAATGGTGTACTTCTCTTTTCACCCTTTCTATTCTTACATTGTTAAATGTTTCATTTCTAATCTATATGACAATTATGCAACCAAATGCCTTTTGAAAAGTGACAGAAAAGAGGTTGTAAGTTTACAGGTTTTAGACTTTTCTTAAGTTTCAAGATTATGCAAACAAAATAACGGTCAGCTATAAAGTGTGCATTTTAAATTGTTTGCCTATTAGCCCCTTTCTGCAACAGGAAAGTCGCACTCGATATCTATAGCAGTGAACTAAACCTACAAAGGTCAAAAATTGAAAAGAAATTTTAAAAAAATATTGTTAAACTGACAAAATATTAATATTTTCATTTTGTGTATAAAAAAACAGAAACTGTAAAAATCTGAATAGAAATAAACACTTAAAAATGTTTTTCTTCCACTTTCATTTTTAATGACACATTAGCTTGAGCTAATATTAGTTTTATTAGCAGGGAGAGTGGGGTAAAATGAGCCTCTGTTTCTCTTTCTTTTTTTTACTTATGTTATCTAGGCATGTATAAATGACATGTGACTGTAACAAAAACACTTATCTTTATTTCAGGATGTATTTTTTCCAGTTGAAATGCAAAGCATCACATGAGGAAGAAATTGGTCCTGTGGTTCTATTTGCCCCGGTAAACTGACTGCCTGCAGAAACTCTCCAACATCCAACCAACACAGCAAGATTCTTCCCAGAATTTGTTGACAGAGGTTCTGTTGCTCTCTGCTAATTCAAATGACAATTTATAGCATTTTTAAAGTCAGGCTATGTTGAGTAAAAACTTGCGTTACATACAAAAGCACTTTTTTTTTTAAAGAAAAAGAAAAAAACAAACCTAAAACAAATTTGTCACACCTAAAAAATATTTAACAGAAAATGAATCTGTAGATGAGTGTTTGAAAAATGAAAAGGAAAGATGCATATCAATTAGATTGGGGTTTGGGTCACGTTTCAAACAGCACGTTGTATTACTGAATGGAAACATCAAAGTCTGCTATTGAGTGAAAGCCACTGATGTTTTATGTTCTGACTTACTATGAAACCAGAATGAATGAAAAACAATGTGATTCATGAAAGACTCAGTTTGTGTTGTATCTAACATTTCCATTTTAAGGTTTTTATTGTAAGTGAAACTATTGTGAAAAAAAAGTCTTTTATTTCACCCGGCTGTCCTGGATGATTTCTACCGTTCCTAAAGTGGAATTGGGGTCAACTTTGGGAAACCCTGGGGTAACATTTGCTAATTCAGATAAGATGAACAATATATTATCATATCACATCTGGCAGTAATATTTAACTGACTCAATGTTTTTACATAAACTTTTTTTGATGAAAGCTGATTTACCAAGATAGTATTTTGAACATACAATGTGCATCTGATTTCGTGTTATCCTGATACCCACACAAAGCTTTCACAAGCGTCTGAGTAAGAGTTTGAGTAGAGCGCCACCTGCCGGCTTCTGCCAGACAGCAGGGTTCTTTCTAGGTTGGATCAGTTTTTAGCTCTATTTTTTTTTATCCGGGGTGCCGTTCCATTCTTCCACAGAAATATGTACCATCTGCAAATGTTTTTATAGCTTTTAATTACTTTAAAAAAGCCAAAATGCAAGAGTGAAAACAAAATGTTCAAAATAATTTTTGGTAATCATCAGAAGTGTTGAGGTGGATTTGTGTTTAAATGTTTTTCCTTTTTTAATTCATTTTGAGTTTCTTCTGACAATACATACATTTAAAGACTTTATGCTAAAACGTTAACAGACTCAAGTCAAGAGTCCTAACTAGTCTGTGGAAGAAGCTACACATTAGGCTGATGATGAGACACTTTCCCACATTAAAACCTGGAACTCCTCATCAAAGATGCATTGAGTCAGAATACAAGTTAAAACAAGTAGAAATCTGGTCAACCAATCAGAATCACTGGGAGGCTTGAAGACTTTTCTGTTGATCGTTGAAGGAAGGTGGAAACCATTGTTGGTGTGCTGTTTAAAACAAAAATCAAGACAAAAAGGCTTTCCCCCCCAAAACTGATGCTACTTTCATATTGCTTTTGAGAAACATTTCTAATTAGAAACTAATCAACTGAATGACAGTTGATTAGTTGAGCTGACAGGGGTGTGAATAACTTTGGACTTAATTGGACATCTCAAAACTGAGCGGGAACCTTGTCTGTCTACATCAATGAGTGACGGTCAGCAGACACAGAGGACGCCTGGGACTGGGATTAATTCGTCTGTAAAAATATCAATGAAAGCCCTTCTGGACTCATTGTGTCGTCCCAGATAACTGCAGGATTTGACCACCTGGATGTATGAAAACCCAAAATGTGACCCCAAGCAGCTTGTAATGGATCTAGAGTTGTTCTCTACCTGGTCACCTTCACTTAATGTTTTAGCAGTAAAATATACTTTATATATTAAAGGTTGGGCACATTATCAGCTGCCATTAACACGCCACAAATGCTCTCTGGTGCCAAACATCAACCTGCCAGCCATTTCCAATACAATGCACTCGTATCAAACTGCATCCCAATTAAAGATTCCCTCTGGATGATTAACTGTTTTTAATCACTACACATTTTGTACTGACCTCTGCTCTACAGATCAGTAGATCCATCAGAAACCATTGCTGTTGTGTCCCATCTGTTTCAGCTCTGAAACAGATGTTAAA